TTGCTTCATGGTGCAATGGCCAGGATCAGGTGGTGGCATGCTCCTTCTAGTCGACGACATAGTCTGACCTGCCAACAACAGCAGAAATAGTACAAGTCCAATGCCAAGGAGATGTGTTGCCCTCTGGGCAGCACTGAGAAGTGAGTCATATGTTTGAGCTTAGGTGTGTCAGGTCTAACTAAACTCTGGACATGTCCACTCCTCTGAACTGCTGATCAGCCTGGGGACGAATCGAGGGCAATCAGCAGCTTCAAAAGGAGCTTATTACTGATGCCAGACCTGGAAGCTACAGAATGGGTGCAGATAAATAAAAGTAGTAAACCAATGAAACAAAAACACACCAATCCCATCTGTTCTGGTGTGAAACAGCTACTTATTAGAGAAAATTATATTACCAGAGGGACATCACAGGGATTCCCCCTGTGTAACAGATGCAGCCCATAATAAGCACAGTTGACAGGCTAATAATAATGCACTGGATGTAATTTAGTGTAATTCTCATTAGAAAGGGAGTACGGGAGAACTCCCGTATCAACAGAACGGCATTTATAGAGGACACGAACTGGGGTCAAGACTTACAATTAGCCCTTCATTTTGGTGTAATATCAGGAGAGTAAGGGCTCCAGCCCAGTCAATCAGATGCACTAGGACTGAACCTCTTCGCAGGTTTGATCAGATATTAGACTGAGGTACATTGTTATTTACTCTCCCACTAAGATGCAAATCCAGTTTATAACTGGAAAGGTAAGATGATCAAAGAGCAGATGTTGCAAAGATCTGCTTCTGGCTGTGATTCATGATCTAATCAACACACCTGTTCCATCAACAGCAACATGAAGGCCCTAGTAAAAACAACTTTGGCTTCTACGTGAATGCAATTAACCACAGCATATCCAGAAGTAGCACTAAAGACAGCTGGAAAGAGCGATGTATAATCCATGAAGATACCTGACTGATAAGAGAGAGAGATTTCACTAAGAAGGCTTAAAAGAAACATTATTCCCATTGTTTACTTTTAGTACACTATAGTACGCAGATGGGGTCACAGGAGAAAATTTGTATTTTTTGCCATATTTTAAAAAGAATACCTTGAACTTAATATTCAATTTAATATATTATTATTCAAATAATTATTTATATTATTTTTAATTAAATGTATAATTTTTTTTTATATTTCTCCCTTCAATAACTATTGTTCTGTTTCATTCCCAGTTGCAGAAATAGTGGATGATACATATTACATTACATGGGGAGGCCTTTGCAAATTGTGCTGGACATTGTGGGGCATTTGAATAAAAAAAATTGAGAACCACTGACCTACAGACCACATTATGGGAAGAAATTCTACACATCCCCAAATCAGTCATTTCAGGTTTTAGGGATCAAAAAAGTGGGTCATTACAGACATTCCCAGAATGACAGCATATTATGACAGATTATTTGGTATATTTAAAAAATAAAAATATTACCGAAAACAAAAACAAAAATATCTATTTTACTGGTCAATGACTCTATTTAAACTAGTCTGTGTGATAAACCAGTGTTTATAGGCATATCTCTTCTGGCAGTGGGTAACAGGGAAATTGTTTTGAAGGTAATGCTCCTCATCCAATTCATCAGCAGTCAGGGGATTAGACCTGTTATATTACCAAAATGCTTACGATCTTATGGCCAACGGGGGGATTATACACTTCTCGTAAAATGAAGCAAACCATCTGACAGAGCCATTATGACCCCCACCCCACACACACACACACACATAAACAGCATTAGCAAACATACTGAAGTCACTCTTACACATATCCTAACCAGATGTGATGCAACACGATGTGGCGACTACCAATGGGAATGAAGACTAGATATCGATATAGATATAGACTAGACAGAGACTGCAACATCCAGTTATTTAATCTCTGTCAGTGTGAAAGGAGCTTTATGGGTGGAAAAAGGCTGATCAAACAAAAAAATCTATTTTACTGGTCAATGACTCTATTTAAACTAGTCTGTGTGATAAACCAGTGTTTATAGGCATATCTCTTCTGGCAGTGGGTAACAGGGAAATTGTTTTGAAGGTAATGCTCCTCATCCAATTCATCAGCAGTCAGGGGATTAGACCTGTTATATTACCAAAATGCTTACGATCTTATGGCCAACGGGGGGATTATACACTTCTCGTAAAATGAAGCAAACCATCTGACAGAGCCATTATGACCCCCACCCCACACACACACACACACACACATAAACAGCATTAGCAAACATACTGAAGTCACTCTTACACATATCCTAACCAGATGCGATGCAACACGATGTGGCGACTACCAATGGGAATGAAGACTAGATATCGATATAGATATAGACTAGACAGAGACTGCAACATCCAGTTATTTAATCTCTGTCAGTGTGAAAGGAGCTTTATGGGTGGAAAAAGGCTGATCATCAGATCAAGCTGAAGTCAGATGGAGCGTGTAAAACAACACAGAATAGCATTCATAAGAGTCTTGCATGGATGATTTGACAAGATATGAGGCTTAAACTTAAATCAGACCATACTGTCCCATTTACACACACCTAATAGTCTAACCGTTGTACTGACTGACTAATGAGGAGGTATAAAAGTCCTGACTCATGGCTAAATCCACCTTTACTTCATTTGTGCAAAGTGGCTTGTTATGTAGCTTAGATCTGTAATAAGTAAATTAGGCTCTGTCAGTAAGTTAGTGGGATAACTGGGATTTGTCTATATTAAAACAAAGACAGTCAAAAGTCTGGGGTCAGTACATTTTTTTTTTTTTTTGTAAGAAAACCTTTATTCAGCAAGGACGCATTAAATTGATCAAAAGTGACAATTAAGACATTTATAAAGTTACAAAAGATTTCTATTCCAAATAAATGCTGTCCTTTTGAACTTTCTATTTAAAGGATCCTGAATCCTGTATCAGAGTTTCCACAAATATATAAAGAAGCACAACTGTTTTCAACACTGATAATAAGAAATGTTTATAAGCACCAATTCAACAAAAACAATGATTTCTGAAGGATCATGTGACACTGAAGACTGGAGTAATTGCTCCAGTTCAGTAATGGCTCGAATTCAGCTTTGCCATCACAGGAATAAAATAATTTTTTTTTACAATCATCAAAAAAAAAAACATGATTATTTTACACTGTAATGGTATTTCACAATATTACTGTTTTTACTGTATTTTTCATCAAACAAATGTAGCATTGGTGGGCAAAACTTTTAAATAAACTTTGTACAATTGTACTTCGATTTTGTTTTGTATAGAGATTTCAATGTGGCATGACACCAAAGTGAATAACTGATCTAAAGCAGTGAAATCTTACCCAGCTCCAATCACCAGTGAACGTCTGACTGTGCTGTCATTGCGCTTTATGCCACAGTTTTGATCCTCTGCTCCGATTCATTTAGGGATCTATTTGACAAAATAGTCTGTCATACCTGAAACAGAGGAAACAGAAACAGTAATGAGATATTGATCCAGCTGAGCTGCGTGAACAGAA